GACAATTATCAACAATAGTTGGCGTGTGCTGGATCTATTTTTTGCCAAGCAGAATTGTTTTGCTGTACAGAGAGCAGCGCGTAACGTGATTTGTGTTTCGGACGTGATTTTTCTATGAAAGGCAGAAGCCAAATGCGATTATGATCGCTGGGGACACGAACAAGGGTGAGCGAATTATAACAAAACGAGAGAGTGCTGTTATAGTACTCACGTCGCGCGACACGTGGCGAATCGCGTTCTGATATTGTATCACTGTCCGCCACGTGACTATCACTTCATAAGTATACATATATCGTATCATACTCGGTTGGTGGTATCGAAGAACAGCTTTGAATTAAACACAGTTCGAGGAATAGATGAACAACCCGAAATTTTAATCTATCAACCTTCAAACAATCTCCTCCGCTAATTTCAGTTATATATATTTCTAACATTTTACGAAATAAAACCTTTAGAATAGAAACCACTAAATCATTCAATAAATTAATGAAAACTGTTTAATTTAACTTAATGAAAATTAAGAGTTTTGAAGAACGATTACATCGACGGTAGATACAAAGCGACACAAAACAATCAATATTTAATGTATCAGTAATAATTAGTATTCATTTAGAAAATACAAGAATGAAAAGCATCAGTAATTATTTTGAAAAAATGATCTATCAGTTAGGAGAAAATTTACTTCACAATACCGTTTATGAACAATTATTCTTATTTAAATTAAATTTAAAAATATAAATAAATACAAAATATTGATTATTAAATTTAAAAATATAAATAAATACAAAATATTGAAACTAATTAGAACGGTAAGATTCCCCGAGAACGTGGCAACCCGATCGGAACTCTCATTCTCCATGAAACAGGCAAGTGTTTGGTCAGTTCAACTACGGAGCGAAGTACGGTCGGAGGTGTGAGTGAATTCAAAGCATGCGCCATTTGGTCCTTAAATAACCGAGAAAAGTGGATCAACATGCTCAAATTGTGAAAACAGGAGAGTCACAGTGCCGACGCCGTCGTACGTGTCTGTTAGGGGTGTCAATTTGTCCACTGGAAGTGTAGTTTGTCCCTGTTTGTTTCCAGGAGAGCTTTATTTGCAGCACACAAGGACCACGAACGACAAGCGGCAGTTCAACCGAGGGCGAAGGGGTGCGGCGGGAAGGGGCGGGCAAGAGGGTGAAGCCCATAGAGGACTGTGGAAAAGTGGACGCTTCGCGTTATAACGACGTCCTGATGCCAGCTTCTTGTTTCAGGACGGAGAAAAAAGATCGGTAACGAGGCGCGACAACGATAGAAACAGCTGTTTCACAAAAGCGCCGATCCAGGGAAAACCGGGTCGCCGCGGCGACTCGTTCCTATGAAAAGGAAGGATCGAAACTTGACTTCCAACTATCGCGAGAAAAGTTTACATTCGGATCGTGCGAGTTCAAACCTGTAGTTTCGTTTCTAAGTTTTCTATTAGTGCGCATGTTTATGAAGAAGAAACAATTTCAAATAGTCAACGGTTAATGCAATTTTAGTA